AATTTCATTTTACCTTAAATTTAAGGACTTATTCCTTATTCGTTATACGTTCATGTTTTTCCATCGAAACAAAGAAAACAATTGAGTTAAATATTTACTTGAGTTTCTACGCAGATACTTTAGCCAAACAATATACTTTATTCGGTGTCGAGACCAGTCTTATTCATGTTCGCTTTGAAAATCGAAAGGATCTGTTGTTAAAACAGAAAATAATGTCTTCAATCTAGTTCGTGTATTGTTTGTGAATTTTAAAAATGTTGACCATCCAGCGTGGTATCCACGTCATTTAAATGTGTCAGTTTTGCTGAATATATACGAGTATTTACTTTGATTTAAATAATGTAACACTGTGTTTTAACATAGTCCTTGTTTGTTCATAAATCAATATCAATTCGATACTGTTTATATGTATTATGTGTAATATATGTAGGCGTGTATTTATTTATTGATACGATTTGGAGTGTTTTAGGAAAAGCGTTGGGAATAAGTATTACGATGTGAAAAAGTATAAAATCGTTGAAAGTCGAACATGGGTATACACATACATATGTACGGCTACAACGTGAGTCTATTATAAAACGTGTTGTTGTGTCATCACATACCAGCTACTATATTATAGATTATACATCAGTAGTCTCCACTAGGATTTTAGAAAGGGCCGAATAATAAATTTGAAAATCACTTGTGATTTAAAATATGGGTCGCATACATGTTTATTGATAACGATTAAAAAATATAAAAATTTATAAATTATAAATTATATATTAAATAATTATAACTTAATAGTTTGTAGTTATAATATTACAAACTATTCATAGTTTGTAAAAGTTATTAAATATTAGTAGAATATTATTAAATTCAATATAAATAGAAACTATAAAATAAACATAAATAATAAGATAAGATAAATAAAAGTTATTACATATAACAATGGTTCTCAACCATTTTTGTATGACGACATCCTAATTTAGATCTATAAAAATGGCACCACACTTGAAATAATTAATGGAATCTTATTTAAGAAATTAAAACTTAAAAAGTTTCAATTTACTTAATTAAAATTTTAAAAGTTCAAAGAAAGTATTATGAAAAACAGTATTAGTTAATAAACATCCAGGCCTGCATAGGTCTTTGATTCGTGGGTAAATGGTTTACAAAGTTTCGCATAATTTACTCTTAATATCTTTTTTGCGTTTTGTTATTTCCAATATCGAATATGCTGATTCAGACATGTATGAGGTCGAAAAGAAAACGAAATTTTCAATTCTTAATATTCCTGTGTATTCGATTTACAGAGAAATCCGAAATGAATCACTTTGAGACGAACACAATTTGGATTTTAACGTTATAATTGGTGATATTTCTAATAATAATCAATAAAAATATCATTATAATTTTTTTTTTTATATGCGGTTATTATTATTTCATCATAATTTCGTTATAATATAGGTACGTTCATACTTTGAAAGCTTATAGTTTCAATTAATAATATTTTAGCGACACACTCTACAGTTAATACTAGTGTGTCGCGACACACCGGTTGAGAATCACGGGCATATAACATAACACCAAAATCAATAATTACATATGACCTTATTCATTCTATTTAATTTTGAATTTTAGATTGTAAATTTAATTTTAGTGCGGTCCATACCACATTTTTTAAAGGGCCGTATGTGACCCGTGGGACACGTAGTGGACATCGCTGTCATAGTTCGTAGTAAAGTATTAATCTATAATATCTGCTTTTTATTCTATTATACGAAAATCATTGAGCATCGAAATTTAAACTATTTATTCATTTTAGTATTATTGTTTACTTAATTTAACAATAAATGCTTATAACGAACATATGATACTATGATTTGTATACTTAATAGTATCTTATTCATATTAATTTGGCGTAATAAAATGTAACTATTATTTTTGGATTTACTTATAATTAATTTTTTATGAATTATTATTTAACTAACGATCACACTTATGTTATAAATATAATCATTTTGTCGATGAATTTAATTTATTTATTGAATAAAAAATAATTTGAGGTCTTAAAAAAAACATTGTAACATATTATTATGATCCGTCATTAATTTTAGTCCGTTATCTTGTTTGCAGTTTACTATACATACGTATTTATATAGATCTACATACGCAATAAATATTACACACGTTTGACTAGAACAATTCGTTTGTAAACATTTGAACTCCGTATCGTAATTTGGGATGTGTGATAAAATACGTTAAATCGAATCGTTATTATTTTTACCCGAAACCCAGTTGCTTGTGCATGATGCACATCGGACTATTTGTATTTCGTCATTATGGATTAATTTCTTATAATATATTACACTTGGTTTCCTGTTGGTCATTTGTTTCCCGACGTGTTACCTACTCCACGTATGTTCTGAATGCATCAAGCCGCAGTTGGGTATTATCTTCTCGGTGAAATAATTTAAGCAACTAACTGTAACATCTGATAGTAGAAGTGTGTGTATAGTATATAGTGTTATGTTTTGCAGCCAACTAGTCGATGCAATTAAACTTTATTGTATCGTCGGCAGAGTACAATAATCGAAGCGTTATGTCTCGCCACACAATCATGTCGTAGGTTTAAGTGGCGAAATTTAGGGGAGCAAATATTGAGCTCATTATTCTCCTCAGCTTGGTTAATTTTTGGTCTCCTTGATTGTATTATAATTTTCAATAGTACACTATGTATTTGTAGCCATTTGATTAAAATTATTGTCCTATAAGTTGAACTTTCTATTTTTACAAAATGTAGGCGTTCATTGAGGAAAAAAAACACTATTTTGATGATGTTAAATATTTATAACTTGAATTATCAACCTATAGCTCCATCCCATCAGACACTTTATTAATTAATAATTTACAGATATTCAATTAAAAGTTACCGAAGGACTTAAAGTTTGAAAATCAAATGTTTAGGTTTTGGAGTGTTATGAAAACGTTTATCACTAAAACGATCAAATTTCCTTTGCTTTACATTGGCCGAGATCATTATACCGTTAAACGGTTAAATTTGCATTCGGTTTCGTCTCGATAACCAGTGGCATAGCGTGGGTTTCAGCTTAGCGTATGCGTAAAAAAGTAAGTTAATTAGGCTTCCATCCCCCCCCCACATTATACTGTTTTTAAAATTTTACTCTAAACATACTAAGTCTTATGTATCTATTAATTATATTTATTAATATATTACATTACCTAGTACATAAAATTATATTATGTTTAATAAACAAAAAATAAATCATTTTAAAAATTATTTTATATTAATAATAACATATAATAATATCTTTGATATAATAATAAATTTATTAACTAAAAAACGACTTACATATTAAATCAATTCTTATATTTTTAGTAAGAAAAGTTTTGATTACTTCATCATAAAACGTAGATTTTTTTTTTCAACTCACCAATAACTTTTTTTCTGTTGACAACATTAATTATGATGAAAGTTGATTTTGTTCTTTGGAATTTCTTAATGAATTCTTAATCCTTAAAAAATGGGCCTAAAATAATCGTTCTGCTGATGCACTAGTAGCTGGAATAGTCAATATCAATGAAATCAATTTTTTACTTGTGGTAAGTTTTCGTTTAAATTTGTTGTTTTTAAATGAATATAAAGATCGTGAATATTAAGTTTTTGAAATTCTTTCATCGAGAAGACAACCGAAAGTTCACTTCTCAATTTGGGTAAATCAAAGTATTTACTGAATAATTGTTTCAATGAATTGAATAAGTTTATAGGTAAATCATTTGCAAACTAACATTTTTGAAGTCTAACAACGCAAAAATTATAATTTATTAATATTTAAAAATCATTGTTTTTTTTTTATTTATCATGACGTCAATAATTTCAAAAAATACATTGTGTCATTAAATAAATAAGCATAATAACTTGGAAAAAAATCCATTAAATACTATACTATGAATTACTAAATAATTGCAATTGAAAAATTGTTTGTAAAAATATAACATTATTAATATACGAAAAAAATTATTATTTTCAATTTATGAAGTGTATGCTGTGCATGCACAGCATACGCACACGATACGTCACAGCCGATGACCACGTGTTGAGCGTGTTGAGCGTGGATATCGAATTCGATAAACCGAAAACTAATCAAAATCAATTTTACATTTTTCACTCCATTCGTCGTAAAATAGAAAATAAAAAACTATTGGTTAAGCGTCCGCCGGTTTTCATTTGTGCATTACTATTGTTAGTATTGACCTTTTTCGTAAGACATTTAATTTTTGGGTTATACATCGTTCGCGCATTGAACGGTTAAAAGATCAAACATCGTTTGTGCATCAATATTATTTAAAAATAAAACTGAAAAAATGTGTATATACTACTCAGGGACGAAGGTAAGGGGGAGGTTTGAAATCCCCCCATTTAGAACTCCCAATCAGTAAACAATTAATAATCCTAATCAGAAAAAAATTGTATGTACGTTCTACTAACAACAAAAATGACTTTCCAATTAAAACATTCACCGCCGCGATGTCAATATATTTATTATTTCACGTAAGCCCAGTACTAATTCTTTTAAGGCGGAACCCCTCCGTTAATAATTTATACCTACAGCTGTGATACTACCTATACACCCGAAAGTTTAAGCGGTCTTCTAACTTAAAGCTTGAAATTCACACATTTCTACATTTTACAATTCAATTTTCAAATATTGTGCAGGTATTTCCGTGTAATAATTTTGTGTAGATAATCGGTTAGACATTATATGGTAGTTTTTACGGTAAATTACTGGTCAGTACGACTCGTGACACAGGTCACAAACAGACGATGCGCAAATGCTTTACGGCCTAAGCGTCTTGGATCTAACCAAAGTTGGTACGTAATCGTACGCGTCGGTCGGGTTACGGATAAACATGATTGAAATAAAATATTTGAAATAAAAATGTTTGACATCCATTCACGTTTTGTTAACGAGTTTTTCGTTTTTCTGTGCCAACAGGTGAAGATTTGGTTCCAGAACAGGAGGACGAAATGGAAAAAACACGACACCGTGACCACCACGGAACCGGTGGACTCAGTGACCGCTGCCGCTGCGGCCACTACAGCCGGCCATGGCGTAGCCGGCGGCGTCGGGTCCAAGTGTTCGCCGAAAGTCGCGGTCGGCGCCAAGTTTCTCAGGGAGGGTGATGACTATTCGTCGCTGGAAGACTCGGAGAGCTGTTACAGCAGCGTGGACGCGGCCGAATCGAAAGTGGTCGCCGCGCGGACGCCCGAATCGCTGCCGCCCACCTCGCCGCCGGCGGACAACAATGAGACCGCGGTCGCGGCCACGACCACTACGACCGCCGGAATCGCCAGAGCTCCCAGTTAATGGAATCGGAGGCGGAACGAAAGTTGAAGCAAAGGACGATGGTTTTGGTTTTTTTCTAAGAACGTGGGTGTACTATTGTTGTTGCGCATGTGCGTAGAAAAAACGGACTAAAAAAATATAAAAAAAATAAAAAAAACAAAAAAAAAACACGATATAAATAGTTCAACATTTTTATTATTTTTATTATTAATATTGTAATTGGCTGTACTACGATGCGTGAGTTGTGCGTTTAATTATATACTTTTGTATTAGGTATATTAAACTTATCGCATCAAACCGTTTTCTCGAGGACACACTAGAACAGTATAATGTGCATAGCATTGTAGAAAGAAAAAGGAAAAAACTGTTAACATATTTCGTTATTTTTTCTGGTCGATATTATTTATGACTGCGTTGATTGACGTTTTTTACCGTGTACATATCTTATTGATGATTAGGGCACACGAGAGGGCGATCTGATTTTTACTAAATTTTTCTTAGCGGAACATAAAAATTACTCTCCGTCTCTTCTGGCAATCTGTGGTTTTCTGGTCTTCCGCCACCCTAGTATTGTCATTCCAAGATGATGTATTTTTTTTATTTAAAGGCTTACTTAATGCCATTTACTCCCCATTCGATATTATGCATAAGATATCACTAGAACTGTAATATGCTCTCTAATATTTTTACGATATTATTTTTATTATTATTATAATTATTATTATTATTATTATTATTATTATTATTATTATTATTATTAT